AAAAACAATTACTTCCATTTGTATCTTCCTTCCAGATGCATTAATAGAGATAGCTCTTGCAGGACTTGAGATAAGGCAAGAAAAATCCAGGTTAACAGCTGTGCTAATAAGTCCAGTTTAACTTCTACGATTAGAACGTAGTGAATACTTGGATATATCTTATAAAGCAAGTCCATAATCGAAGAGTCACCATATATCCTTGGGAGGAATTGAAGAAGATGAACAAGTTACAACACCTTCCTGCATTCATTTATTCTTAAAAGTAGCTACTCCATCACATTGGCCATTTGCAACGACTCCTCGATGTCAGCCGACAATGCTTTCTCTTCTTTGTTTGACCAAGTATGCTTGTCAGCCATCTGATAAAGAAAGTGGAAAATGGGAAATGGTTACGATGGTTCCTACAATATAGAAGGAAAATAAAAGAGACAAGTGGATGTATGGACATGCAGACGACTGTCAGCAAAATGCATGTCGAACAAGGAGATGACTGGAGTATGAATCTAGTAACAGTCATGCCGCGAATACAAATGGTAAAGGTTCAGTCAACTTAAGACAAATTTTACTAACAAAACAGTCTACAAAGTTGACAATCTGATATTAAAAGCAGAGAATGCATTTCAACTATAACAGAGAAAAAAGCAAGTTCCGATAGTGATCTCAACAGGATTTACTTAGCCCCTCCAACCCATTTGCAAGGAAGTTTCGATCATGTATTTGAACTTCTCCCAGCATTTCTAACTAAAGCCTCTAGGATGGACAACATTGATCCAACAGAGAAGGCCAAAAGAAAGAATATGTTGAGGTGAGAAATTATGTTCTCCTATTGATCCACCTATTTGAGTAATTCATAAAAATGCTCCTATTTGATCCACATATTTCCTTCAGTTGTACACTGAACTCCAAGTAGCACTGCTTCCCTCAACTGTGGTTGTGTATTTATTCAAAAAAAAAAATTGCATTGTAAATTTATAACTAAACCAAATCAAAGGTAGGCTTTTTCCAAAGGAACTGTAATTCCAACCATACCTTTGTTAGGCTACAAAAACTATCGGAGGAATTCTTGAGCTCAATGTCGAGCTCCATCATACCAAAACTCAAATTATATAACCCCTCCATAACAATTATCAAATAATTTATAAATCTTAAGGATATGGAACAGCAGTTATTTAAGTTATATTGTACCATGCAATAGACAGACAGGAAATCCGTTTTGAAAAGAAAGAAAAAATTAATATTTACTTTCGGATGTTATGTTGCTTAGTTGGCACTCTTTATTCGCCCTTCGCTCTAATTTCAGATCTCGTTGTTAGTCTATTTTGCCTTCCAACTTTAGCATCTGTGCAGTTCAAGTAGCTGAACTACAGGATACTTTTATAGATTTGGTGCTTACAGGGGACCCTAATCTCAAGATATTCCAAACTATGCAACAAAACAAGTCAATAACAATATTGAAAGCTTTGAATTATTAAAATATTTAAAAGTCACCCACATTGAAATAAAAAGTACTACTGCAGGAAAATGAAGGAAACAGAGATTTGACTGCAGGGAAGAATTAATGTATTTGACTGCAGTGAGGACTATTTGCGTTCAAATTTTAACTTAAAAGGGCATAGCATGAATTGGTATAAACCCAACTCAATGTACTATGGCATTCATTAGTTCTATACTCTTTTCTTTTTATTTTCTAATACCTGGAGAGCAGGAGTTTGCCGGCGAGCTTGAACTTGAGGCAGTTTTCGAAACAAAGGAGGCTAAGAGTGATATTGATAGCTGGAAGAACTGCATAGAAACCCAAATCCCCATACTTGCATTGTCAGAAATCAGTTCTTCTGAATCCAACTTTCAATAGAGATCATTTTTAAAATGAATCGCAGAGAAATGATGTTCTCCATTGCAATTTCCAGATTCTGGTTCAAGAAAAGCAAAAGCTGCAATAAGGCAAACTCCTAAAAATTCCTGCTATTTCAAGACCATGTCTCTGGAAACTGCTTATAAAATTAAAATCAAACACAAAATTGTGTCTAGATCCATTAGTTTTAATACATGTGCCACCAAAGTTATTCCTTCAAACTATCGGGCAAAATCCAGAGAATATATTACTTGTCCAACAATTGATCCACATCATGCCCCACTACTAAAGACTTCCAAAAACCTAAAAATATCATTACAATTGTAATGGCAAAACACTTTCAAAGCAGAAAATTATGGGTCTTTCTTAAGATTCCAAATTCTTGATGCCCAAACCTTTATATATGCCTACTTGGTGTCACACTCATAAGTCATTGTGTATTCCACTCGTGGCCATCAGATCAAAACAACATCCCTCACTTTTACCAACATGAACGATCAGAACACAATTGTGGACAAAATCAACTGAAAAGTGTAAGAGCATTCAAGTAAAATCTTCCTTGTCAGGAACAAAACAACATTACGTTGATAGTTCTTTTTTTTTT